TAATAATTATACTATTAGAGCACAAATAAAAAAAATCTATTAATGAAAACCAACTTAACAAATCTCATGTTAATTAAATAAAGAATAATGAATAGTAATTGCACACCAACGAGGACTTATTTTAATAGTTAGAGATTAGGTTTTGATGGGGATGTTCAATGTTCAAAATTTTCTCTTCAGTGTTTTATATATTCTTTGTTTTTGCAGCTAACTTTTGGACTAAAAACAAATTATTTACACCTCAATCGAGGATTTGTAAGGATTTTTTTCTCTGCTTGGTATCTTGAATAATCATTTTTTTATGTTCTTCAATAATCAACTTTGTATTAACATGGAGATTTTTATTATTAATAATTAATCCGGCTCCAACAAGTCACATTCATTTTTTAAATAAAGAAAAACTCCTTGGGCTCAATTTTTTCTTTAAAATTTCAGTGGGCTTTTAATTACTTTATTGTTATTAGCTGACTAACTAACTGACTATGGAAAATAAAATTGCGAAAGATTCCGTTATTTGGGCCATTAGAGGGCTTGAGCCTTGACTCAAATGGCTGGGCTATTTTGTGGAAGATGTCCACTTGATACAGGTATAGTTGCAATCTTTTTTTTTTAATTATCAAATAAGTATTGTAACCATTTATGAACGGCGGCTCTCCTTATATTAGAAAGTTTTTTTTTATTAATAATTACAAAATATATAATTTATGTAAAATAAATTATAAAATAATTATTTTAATAATTTAAAATTGAGGAGGTATCAAAAGCCACAGAGGCAACACCACGTGGCAATGACTTGTCTAGCTGGCACTAAGTTGGCTAATTAGAAATAGGAAATGATATTTGTACAATATTTTTATCTTATTTTTTTATATAACTTGACGTATCATTAAAATAATTAATTTTTTTTAATTCATGTGAAATCCATTATATTAAATGCATCCACTCATTTAATAATATATGAAAGTTGTATAAAAAGGTGGGATAAAAAGGTTATCCTAATAGCACCATCCTTAGATAATCATATATGGATAGGATAGGGTGGTATTATATGGATAATTCTTTTATATTACTTTTTAATACAACTTTACATGTTATTAAATGAGTTAATATATTCAATATCATGAATCTCATATAAATTAAAAGAACAAATCATTTAAATGATATGTCAATTTGTATCAAAAGATGATATAAAAAGGTTGTTCTAAAATCATTTCCCATACGAATAATATTTTTAAAAAAAATTTTATATGATTTTTATATGTCATTAAATAAATAAATGCATCTAATATTATAAATTCTAGAAAAATAAAAAAAATTAACTATTAAATAACACATAATACTATATAAAAAAATAATACAAAAAAAGCTATCTCATAATAATTTTTCAATTAAAGACAAAGATTTAACTGTTATGTGTGATATGTGTCTCTGCCATTAAAATCTGTCCTTATTGGCTTAAATCGTGGAGTATAAGGGCTTGTATGCTAAACAAATAGTAAGTTGAAAGGCAAAACATAAAAAAAATAAAAAAATAAAAAAAAAAAACGAAAAACAGAACAAAATAAAAACAACGTTTCAGAAGCAGATCTAGTGTTTTTGCCAATATTTGAGGTTTTAATTGCAAAATTAGGCTTTTTTTTTTTTTTAATTTGCAATTACAAAGAAGACAAAATTTTGGGGTCCTCAACCATGGAAAAATGAAAAAGTGTTCATGGAGAACCAAAAAGTGTCTTGATTTACAAATGGAGCACACTGAATTGGGAACATAAGTTTTGGCCGGTGTTCCCCAACCCAATTTTTCCTACATCTTGCCAAAATTATTTTTTGTTAGGCTTTGAAACCCAACGCCTCCCATTGACTTTGGAGACCTGCTCTCGATGAGACACCAATGTATGTGTCTCATGTGACAGACAGCCCCTAGCCCATGGCTCCTCTTTATGAATAATGTATTCATATATACTTCATATAGCTGTCATAGTTTGATTTTTTTGAACTCAGCTTAACTCATATGATTAAATTAAAGCCATGCAACATTTACATAAAAATTTTTTTTCTTAATGATAAGAACAAATGATAAAAACAAAGAAAGCACAATTGGAGATAATAATCATGAGAAGATCAAATTCAATAAAAGACAAATATAAAAAAAAACAGTGAATAATCACACAAACAATTTTTAAAAAAACAAATTTTTACAAATTCTATTGGTCGACTATTCTAAAAGGTTGGACATCCTTTAATCTATTTTTGAAGATGATCCCGCTCTCCATGATGCCATGACAAGGAGATCAAAGCAAGTAGCGACCAACCTCTAATTTCTACTTTATTGTCTTATTGGCTATCAGATTTAAACAAAACAAACAAGAAAATGAGAGATAGTAAAGAAAAAAAAAAATCACCAGAAAGGATCACAAAAAAAGCTGTAAACCACTCAAGGTGGTCAATGGACAAAGGAGCACGAAAAGCCAACTCTACCATGCTCGAGAAGCTAGAGGGCTTCCGAGCACCAAAAACTCATAAGCCCTCACCAAAAAAACTGAAACTTTGGAAAGGTTTAGTCAGAAACAGGAGGATTCTAGAGTAGACAAAGAAAGAAAAGGGTTGTTGTCATAGTTTGATTGTACATAGATGTTTAGTTTAGTTAATATTTTTTCATAATTATATGAATGATAAATTTTTAAAAAAATTCATGTACTTAAATCTTGTTTTTTTTTTTTTTTCCTGTCACATGTAGATCTTATTTATTTTACATAAAAAATTAATAGTTAATTAAAAGTATTATTTAAAAATGCACATATAGTTAAATCAGGACAACTAAAAAATATAGAGAATAAGCTAATGTGAATATCAAGACATGGTTATGACTAACAATAAAAATATTAAGTCATCCAAATTATAAAATATTATCTTTAAAAATATTAATTTTGTTTAATTTAATCGATAAAAATGACTAACAACTGTAATTATTATTAATTAATAACTAATAAAACATTTGATATTTATTAGTTAATAAATAAAAATTAGTCAATAAATTAATATCTTCATACATTATTTTTAAAAAATACTAAAATTTTAGTAGCCTTAATATTTTTTATAATAGCAATAATCACATCCAAAAATCTCAATCAATTAGTATCTTATTACTTACTAGTAACAAAGATTGAATTAACAATTTACTCCAAACCATTTTTATGTCTAGGTTCCTTGGGTTCCTAATCAATGAGAGATTAATTGAGTAGTTAAAGACTTGTTGAGATGATAAAAAGTTTCAAGATAAATCTTTCATTTAAAATATATATTAAAAAAAATTGTGTTTCATAGGAACCAAGATTATGATAAATAAGCCATTGATTTAGGTAATTTAATAATTATTTTTTGGGTAAAAATAGCATCCTAATTGCATATATTTAATGTATAAAATGAAAGAAAAAGATTGCTCTTTATTATATAATTTAAAATTAAAAAAATAAAAGAACCAATGACATGTTCGACTGAATGGAAGAGCATCGATTTCTCTTAAAGAAAAATTTTAAATTTGAGTTTTCTAAATGAAAAAATAAGTATTCAAAGAGATTCTCCTTATGAATCCGACGTGACTTGATTCTAATTAATCAAGATCTATTATAACTTTTAGATACTGATATGTTAATAAAAAATTAAAAAATAAAATAAAGATTATGATAAGTAAATGTGAAAATTTTAGGGGGAAAGAATCATTTTCCAAGGAAAAAGGGTTTTAAGTTTTGCATAAGTGGACCCAGGTGGATTTTAAGTTTAACCTACTCTCTTGACAAGAAATTTTATACTTTAGGTGCTCCAACTTTTAACTAGGTTAGATGGGTGGGTCACTTCAGCTGACACCACCTGCTTCATGTTCCTGTGACTCAATTCAATTTTTTTCGACATTATATTTAAAGGAATAAATACACTTAACAAGAAACTTAACAACTTACTATTTTTGATAAATTTATAAAATAAAAAAAAAAGAGAGCTAAAAACACTATTTTTTTCATTCTTCTTTCAACATTCTATATAATTTATCCAAGTCTACACGGGTAAATATGAATTTCATGTGGGTCAATTATATTTTTTTATCTTAGCAATTATTTTTTTTAGTTGTTTAACTATTAGCTTAACAATTATATTTTTTTGTTGTTTTTAATATTCAAATTAAATTAACAATTTATAATTGAAAATAGGGGAAAAATTAACGAATAAAAGAAATTTTTTTTTATCTTGTATACTACCAAACAACTAATAACTCTATGATTTACTAAAAAAATCTATAAATATTTTTCTAAAGAAATTATAATTAGCTTAAATAATATTTTATAATGGGAAGCCAAAAATTGCGTGGAAAATCCACGTTTGAAAATTGAGCGTTTCGTTCCTCCTTCCCACCAAACTGATGCGCAAAACTCTTAACCGCTCCACCTTCCATCAATTCCCTTCACTCTCTCCACCATAAAACAAACCACTTTTTTCACTTCTCATTCCTGATTCTTGCGTTTTCTTGAATCCTCTTGTTCCTCACCGGAAAATGGTTGGAACCGGGCCGCAAGATTCCAGCGCAAAATCCCAGTTGGTTTTGGAGATATGCGCCATTTCCACCGCACCCATTGGATGTCCTCACCGCCGGTATTGTGTGCCGGCCAATTCCCATTTCATCGACTGGTACCGTCTTCTTGGAGTATGTTTTTGTTCCTTTTTCTGAAATCTCTTTGATCTTAGATCTCTATTAGACTTTATCAGGTTTTTAAGAAAAATGGGATTTGCAGGTACCGGAGGATGCAGGGATGGAGGTTATAAGGAAGCGGTACCATACACTTGGTGGGTTTTGGGTTGGGAAAATTGGGTGTGTCTCGATTTTGATGTTTCTTTGGTATTCAATTGGTTAAGGAATTTCCTTTCCTGTTTTGCAGCTTTGCAAGTTCATCCGGATAAGAACAAGCATCACAAAGCTGAGATTGCATTCAAGCTTGTCTCAGAGGTTAGAATTAATCTTGAAATGGTAGGAATGATTTGTTTTAGGAGTTTAACATGGGTTTTTAACTTGCAGGCATACGCATGTCTTTCTGACGGTGCAAGGAGGGAGGCATTCCACTTGGACAAGTGTAGGAATTTCTGCATTGAGTGCAATGGAATCCCATGTGATTCTCGCAGTTCTCCTGAAGTTGAGGCAATGGATTCAAGAACTTGCAGAGTAGTGAGAGCATTCAAAGACATCTGGCAGAGATTCAAAGAGGAAACCAGAGTGATAGAGAATTGTCTGAGGACAAACAGCTTGTCGAGGAAAGAGTCGCAGCTTTACTGTTCTGCCGCATCTAACAATGTGGTAGATGGTAGGACAACAACGCGCAAGAGCCAGAGAGAATCACCTGTCTTTAATCCCTCTGACTATTTGTTTCATGGCTACCCACATCTCAGGAGTCGAGTTTACAAGAGACCAGAAAATTTTTGTCACTTCCAAAGACCAAGGGGCATACCGAATTATGGCAGGGGAAGAGAAAGGTATCAGACTCCTATCTTTGAGACCGTGTCAGAGATTGGGACATTAGAGAGCAAACCTGTTTGCATTCGATCTTGATAATGATCTTTAGTATCGAATGACACTGCGTTTCATTCTCACAAAATGGGATTCCATTAACAATTTTCCTGTGAGAGTTGTTCATTCTTTTGTCTTTGTATTTTCATAGGAAGACAACAAGATCACATGGATATTATCATCCTAACATGAACACGATTAGATATACTATTATCTTTATAACTCAAAGCTCAGTAAGGGAAAATTACCCCTCATGTTGTACAATAAAACAAAATTTGCACTGGTTTTTGGTTACCTTTGAAAATCATCCAGTTTGCTTGCCTTACATGAAAACGGGTTAGCTTTGATCTCAAATCCTAAGCTTATATCCCATTTCAGGAAAAAGATACTTGGTCATATGCTCCTTACATGCTCTATATATAAGATTCCTCATGAAACTTGACCAGGAGGAATGGGTCAAGTAGCTTGTTTGTGAATCATCAAGATAGATAATTCTTTCCTTCTCTGCCACGGTGCAAACTAACCTTCATTTGCTGATTGCTTAGTTTCAGGGATTTTGAGAATACCGCCATCTATCAAAGGCTGCAGGTTTTTTTCCACCAGTTTATGGACTTTAGAATCTGAAGATTCCCAGAATGCACAAACCACCTTGGAACTGCAAAAAGAGATAGGGCCCAAGTTGTAACATCCAAAATCAAATTGTTCTCCATGTTTTATATGACATCAGATGTGCAAGAATAAAACAAATTTAGCCTAACCTGTGACCCTGGGCCCACAATTCACAGTTTCCTTCAAAGGCTTTCTTCCATAATGTTGAAGCAAACTCAGAACAATCCAAGACTAGTTTCCTTATGGTGCGGCTAGAATGGAAGTTTTCAAGGACATGCTCCTCTTCTGGTTCTTCAGATTTAGGTTCAGCTGCAAGTGATGCTATAGCTTCGTGCAAGTTCTTCAACTTTTCATCCAAAGTTGGATGGAGAATGCCACCAGAGCCCCCTGTTACAACCTGCGCTATGACCAGAATAATGATAGGGCAATTTGCATTTGATAAGATCAACGCAATTAAGAAAGCAAAAGATGAAGCTCAAAAAAAAGAAGAAAATTAAGAGTGTTTGATCTGAACAACCAAATATAAAGCAAACCCAAATAATTGTTACAAGTTGACTAGCTGACATGGTAGACTTTGCAACACAATCCTTCTTAACTTCCAACATAGTTTTCTCTAATAGACTTTTAACTTAGTTTTCTCTAATAGACTTTTAACTTCTTTTAACCAAGAATATTACTTCAATCATAATATATTAATATCATAATAAAAAACCAATTACCTCATAGATAATTTCTTTTCCAAAATTTGATCTAAGTAGTTCTCCAGCACTCTCAATGCATATGTCAACAAGGCTCTGCATAACCAAGCAGGCTGAATTTTATACATATTGCAGATATTTACTAAAACAGAATCCAAAGTATCAACTGCAACACCTCTAACTTGGCCGAAAAGATGTTAGAAAGATAAAAGATCTTTTAATTTTTTAAAAATATAAGAACAATAATGCATTGAATCACAAACACAGCAGAGCAACAAACCTCTGCAAGCCCACTATTGACTAGCAACTCTCTCCTCCTCAAGGAAGGATCCTTCTTTCCACCCTCAGAATTTTTATCAATAGACTCTGTTGCTGTCCCTGCCCCATCGCTCTCAGCATCCTCCTTACCAGATCCTTCATCCCTCTGAGACTCTTTCTCAGACTTTGTGACTGATTCAGCCTAAAACGGGGTCAAAATCATAGATTTAGAACAGTTGGATCTATATTCTTATATAATTAAAACATTAAGCTCACAAAGTACCTCAGCACTAAGAGAAGGAATAGATAAATTTAAAGCCGCCAGATCATCAGGATTTAAATAACGTGAACAATTTGGATGAAGTAGCTGTAGCAACAGACGCCTTCCACTCTAAAATTCTCAAATAATGAAAAACAGATCAGGAATCCACAATTATGAGTGCAACTAAAAACGTACAACTATATGGAGATCCACCATGCAGACACTCTAGATCTAAAATCAAACGAGTTTAAGATACAAAGTCTAGCATGTTTGGTGAAGCTTGTAAGTACTTCAGCTTTTTGACACTATTTATGTTTCACAAGTTTAAATTTTCCTCTTAAAAACTTACATTTTTTAACTTCTTTTTATCCTTAAAAAGACCTTAAACAGTGAATTTTGAAAAGCTTCAAACTTTTGCTTTTTATAAACTTCCTTTTTACTCACTTCTTACTCACTTTTTATTATTTCTAAAAGCAACTTTCAAATTTTCCGTCTAATAAAAATTTAAACTTATGACTCATAAACAGTACTAAAAAAGTAAAAGCTCCAAGAACCTCCACCAAACAGGCCCTAATTTACAAACATTGCTCACTTTTCTTAGGCTGGAATGGCACATCATTTTCCAAGTTCAAATAGACTACAACTCAATAAATACTTCATTATTAGGGAAAGGAAGAAAGATACCTTGTCTAAAACAAGCTCCCTTAATACAGTTTGAATCTCACGGATGACAATCTGTAAGAACAAGAAATTGATTTAGAAGCACAATCAGAGAGTATAACTTCATAAAATACAGAAAAAAATAATAATGATGATGACCTTCATAACAGAAACCAACCTTAGTTACAAGTTTTGTGTCATCAACCATTGAAACAATGCAGATGAGTACCTGAAAGTGAATGATAAACAATATAATCAAGCTTGTAAGAAAAGTAACCACAAAACAAGTGAAAGAAATTGAGAGAAATGCATCAAGATCGATAAATTCTACTAAAAGGCATTTTGACCAACATTAACATTTGGGCTGGTACTCAGATTGGCACCATGTGCAGCAATACCGACAGAGTCTTTACATCCATTTTACAAGTCAAAGTTAAATTCGGAAGTAGCTATCACATGTCTGATTTAGCTCAGTATTAAACATCTCTTAACATGATAACACAGCATTTACCAAAACCAAAAGAATGAAACTTGAGTGAGCAAAGCTCCATAAGTAATCCTTACCATACACCCATATTGATCATGAGCTATCTTGCTTATGTGGCCTTTCATTCCCTTGATAATTTTCTTTCTTTCCTAAAATAGAAACATCAATAAAAGACAGCTTAAAAATAAAAAATCAGAACACAGAAACAAACCTATTAAAATATCACTTATTAGCTATATCTAGACTCTAGACCAATTGCAACAAACCTTTGCACTCCCATGCTTTAAACAAAGCATTCCAATCCTAGAACCTTCTCTAGTATGAATCATACGAACAAGAAGTGGACCAGACAACTGTTGAATTATATCTGCAGCAGAGCTCTACCAACAAACTTGATTAGAAACAGATACTCAAATTACAAATCCACTGCTATAGGAAAGAAAATGCCTCAGCAGATAATCTACTAACGCAATTAAAATCTTAAAAATACCTTATCAGCCAAGCTCAAGTACTCTATTAACAACCTGTGTATGATGGAGTGGTCAACAATTCCTTTTTCTAGAATTGGTTGAATCACTGAACTCATATGCCGTAAAACTGAACCTTTCTGTAGGCCAAGCTTAGAAATAACATCTTCCAACCTGAAATATAATGAAGAATCATTTAGCCATACTGGAGCAACACATCAACTTTAAAGTCATTCATCCAAATCCAATAGAGACTATTGGCAAAAAAAAAAAATAATAATAATAAGTGATTTCAAAAGATGCCCATCAGCCTCCTAGGACCTAGATCATTGGTTCTCAAAATCCCCCCTGCCACAACCCCACCAAAAAAGGCCTCTCCATTACCACTAAAATAATTAGAAACTTCCATTATGCAATGCTTCTACTAAATGAAATAGGAAAGGGAATATTAAAGATTGCTATCTTCACACACATCTTGAGAGAAATGGCTAAGTAAATATTGCAGTCAAAATTCTCTGAGCATAACAATTGCTTATTTAAATGTATATGCAGACAATGATAAGATAAGAATGAAATACTAATCATTTGGATAGGCACCTGATACTACCTGCTCTCTTTTGTAGAGGTAAGGTCCTTGAACAACTGAAGTTCGGTAGAACACAATTCCATCAGGAGCTCTTGTTTTTGAGTTGCATTTGCTATTTGGTATGCATGCTCAATTACTGGGAAGGGAAAATGAAGATGTCTATTCGTTAGCAAGCATTTAGAAGAGATCTAACTACTGAAAACACATAGTGAGACATACCAACAGACCCAACCATGTGCCTGAGAAGAGATGCCACATGCCCATGGAGGGAGGAGATAACCCCTGCCAACTGTGTTTTAGATGCTGCAAATTATATCAGTTGTTACATTAGGTAATAAATATTAAAGGATTTACATGACCAAGAAGATCCAAGTATAAACCATTCTTTCCTTATCGAAAAAAGAAAAAAAAAAAAGTATAAACCACTCTTTTAAGTGACTTGGAAGTCACTCCTGATTTTCAAGTTAACCCACCATTGTCTAGCATTTTTTTCACTAGATGAACTGCATAAGTGTTGCATGCAAGGGAGAGAAAGTGTGGCCGAAGCTCCTCAAATACAGCATCCCTTTCAGTTGGTGAGCAGTACTTAACACAAGT